AGAAAGCGAGAAATCACCCCCCAGGGGGGATGGTCACGCCGCAATCCCTTCTCCTCCATTCTCCTCTTGGGATCTTGGGCACACATGCACACGCACCCAGCATGAGTTTAAAACCACCCTGTCCAGGACTCGAACCGTGGTCGGCTACATAGGAGTCCAGCGATGTAGCCATTACACCATCTGCAGGTCCCACAGCCGATGTGTTTCGAGCTGAGGGGGTGAGGATTTTAGTTGCGGCCACCGTATGGGGTCTGGGCTCGGGGCAGCACACTAGCACTGGCCGTGGAGCTGCTTCTCTTCACTGCGCCTACACGTCGCGGAGGGGCAGTGTTTCTGTCTCATGGGTGTCTGCCTGGGCTGGCACGTGACTGCACACACATGTCCCAATGCACATGGAGACCACGTGGACACATGGGTTATAGGAGGCGACGCAGGAGAGTGGACAGGCCACAGCCAGCATGAATGGAGACAGCCGGGGCTCAGTCTTTAACCCCATCCGGGACAGAACAGCTCTGTGAAGTAGGTAGGGCTCCGCGCCCCACGGAAGGCCATGTGCCCCAGTCACTCACGAGTCCCTGAGAGCCAAGTGCAGCTCTGGGCAGACTGTGAATGCCAGGACAGGGTCCTGCAATTGCCACCATCCCTGTGGAGCAGCTGGGGCAGGGAAGGGGAGGGACGGGAGAGAGGAGCCCTGGCAGGGCTGGTGAGTGGGGAGGAGTTGGCAGGTGGCCAGGGAACCCAGCCAAAGCCTGAGGGGTGACCTGGTGGCTGAGGTGTGAAGGCCCAGGTAGGGGAGTGGGAGGGGAGGATGTGAGTGCTGGGGCCCCACCCCTCAAACAACATTGAAGGTTGTGCCTTGCTTGGGGGAGCAGCTTTGACCCCCCTTGGCCAAGCGTGCCCCCAGCACTCAGCTGCATCCATCTGAGGAGCGCCTTTTCCTGGTCCCCAGAGTTGCCCTAGGCCCAGGGGAATCCAAGTCCTGGGTTCGAGGCCTGGCTCTGGCACCAAGAATGCTATGTTGCTTTGACAATGCTCCTGGACTTCTGTCCACAGTGGGGATTTGAGTCCAGGCCTCTGCCCCAGACAGCCCTTCCACTGCAAGTTCCTCCTCCCCAAACCGCAAACTCAATGGTCCAAACCCTTCCTCCACTGAAGTTCAAGGGTCACCTCCCCTAGTTCCGGCCTCTGGACCTTTGCACCTGCTGTTCCCTATGTGGAACCGTTTTGTGCCTGGCTCCTTCTCATCCTCCCAGTCCTCCCGGACTCAGTAAATATTCCCTCCTATGAGAGGCCCCCCAGAGCCTACGCCCTCCCAGCATTCTCTCCCCGCCCCCTTCCTGCCTTACTGTGCTCAGTGCTTCTCACTCCCTGAAATTGCATTGTCAATTCGTTCCTTTGTTATCTGTCTCCTCCACCAGAAGCTCAGTTCCAGAAGGGCCAGGACTTCACTTTGTTTACTGCTATGTCTCCAGTGCCCAGGACAGGGGCTGGCCGCTGAGAGAGGCCCATAAATACTTGTGGGAAGATTGAATGAATGACCGAAAGAAATGCACCTCTCTCCTGATATGTGTATATACGTATGCACGTGTGTGCCTGTGCGTGTGTGCGTGTGTGTGTGTGTGGCTGAAAAACTGTTTGCTTCTTGCTATCTTATCCCAAGAAACGATTTTTAAAGTATGTTGAATGAATGAATGACATGCATTTCTGTCTCCCTCGTTACAGTAGACACTAATGTTTGATGGATGAATAAATGAACAGTTCCATCTCTGTGGGCCCCTCCCCAACCATAAAAGGTATTAGAAAGGGAAAGGGGGGAGAGAAGGACAGAGGGAGAGCAACAGCGGGGTGCTTGTGAACCCCAGGGGTCTCCGCTTGGCCCACTTTCC